AAATCAATAACAATCGGAAAAAAATCGAATCCAAACAAATTGTATTTGTTCGAACAAAAGTCTAATGATGTATATGAAGAGTGTGGAATTGTGGTGTCCCCTGCTGAGCGCTGTGGTTTCTTACTTCGCCCCTATAGCACTGTCTTGGGTTGGATCATGGAACCACAGCCGGGGGGGCGGCGTTGATGATGACCGGTATCTGACACTCCCAGAAATGTCAAATGTTAGAGTTTGACAGAGGCTGCAGTGCTGGAGAGGTAGGAGACCACTTTAAAGCAGAACTACAACCTCCAGCCCTTTACTGCCAACGAAGGTGCCATTTTAGCCTCTATTTGGATTGCTGTTGCCATGGTGCTGCACATGTGATCAGCAAGGACACCAGCCATTTGAGGGCTTCAAAGTTTGGTTGAGAGCTGAAATAAGCACAGAAAGTAATGGTTGAAGTTGCTCTTTCTTATAGAATTCATTCTGTGTCTTTGTGAGTGATTTTTTTATAAAGAATATTGAAAGCTGCGACCTTGTACTTGTGAATTTTATTTATTCTTTGAAAGCAAAAGGTTGTTATAAGTGACTGCAGCCCACTTGTGCTTTTCATTATTGTATCTCTGAGCTCTCGGCTAGTTTGCTGTCACATTGGCCTAGTGGGTGAGGTTCTTGCTGTACATAGACCTGGCTCTGCCGGCTGCTGTCTGCTTTATTCTTGCTGTAGTCGGCAGTTTTCACTGCTTGGCGTATTTCCCTGTGATTACTTTGCATAAAGAAAGAGATACTGGCTGCAAATACAGGAACCTCCCTCCAGATATTCCATTAAAGTGCACATAAACCATAACCATAAACCTTTTGGTCTGTAAAAAGTACCATTGGAAATGTATTGGTATATCTGTTTTAGAGGTGCAACAATACCTGTTGATCCTGCCTGGGATCTTGTCAGTTTATAACTTCCTGTGCTGCGTTCTGATCAGTTGCTTTGTTCCTAGCTATTATCTTGCTTGCAAACAAAGTCAGCCCTGCTTACTCTGCTCTATGCTCCTGCCAGCATGTTCCCTGTCAACACAGAGCCTCATTGGCTGATGTGCTGGTCTCCGTTTCCTAATCTAAAGGTGCCCATACACTGCTCGATTCTCGTACAAGAATCGGGCGAAATCCCGCGATCGTACGAGAATCGAGCCGTGTGAGCCGAGCCTCAGCGGGGCGGGCTTTCGATGATCGCAAGTACAATCTGCCCGTCCAAGGTGGGCAGATCGTACGAGCTTTCAAGAAGCATACGACCATCGCAAGACAAAAGTCTTGCGATGGTCGTAAGGTGTATGGGCACCTTTAGTGCGGTTGTGCAAAGGATGACTGGAAGCTGATGCCAAGAAAGATTCCTGCATCCTGTACCTATGCTAGGTGTATGTTCCTTCAAAATAATTAAGTATATTTTCTAGGGATATACCAATACTAGTATCGGTGCCGAGTATTTGGGGGAGTACTCAAACTCGCCCAAATGCTCCGATGCCTAGCCTGATACTTTTGGTATCCTGAGTGGTCGAAAGCTGGCCAATCAGGAAACCAGGCGTCATGTCATGACTGCCTTCTGATAGGTTGGGAAGCCGGCTTTATGTTCCCTCATCACCTCATGACGAGGGAGTATGGAGCTGGCTTCCCGGCCAATCAGGAAGCTGGGCGCCGCGTCAGTACACACCGCCCGGCTTCCTGATTGGCCATAAAGCGGGCTCCATGCTTATCACCTAGTGATGAGAAGCATGGGGACGGCTTACCTGCTAATCGCGAAGCCAGGCGGCGAATCATTACACACCGCCTAACTGCCTGAATGGGACTTCCGGTACTCGGTATTTGGTACCGGCGAGTACCGAAAAAAATATTGGTACACTTACTCGATACCAAAATACCGCTATCGGTGCATCCCTAATATTTTCCTATAAAGCTGCATTTAATAGAGGGTCCTTTTTTTGTGCCTGAAGTTCATCTTGTTTTTGTTCATTCTTTTAATGGTAAGAGGAGCTCCTTGGAACAGGCTTCCAATGACTGTGTGCCCAGCGATTCACTTTCAATGGGCAAGGCTCACATTTCTCCAAGTTACTACCTTTGTACTTATAAGATGCCAAGATCTCATGAATGTGTCACACCTGCTGGTTTTTTAAAGGCAACCTATACGTGGATGTTGGCACTAAACTTCTTTAATAAACTTGCTGATATAGAGTCATAAAAAGATTCATAGATGTGCTGAAATATTTATTTTCCTGGAGTGAAATGCTCCACTTGGCTTCTTCTTGCGCTGGTCATGTGACCTTTTCTGAAATAGAAAAGAAATAGACACTGGCACTCCAATAGCAAATAGATTGCGTCTATCTATTGCCGTACATCAAAAGCAATATAACACACTTAGTGCGACGTTTCGGGGTCACACCGGAACCCCTTCATCAGGCAAAACAAGTGAAATAGGGCGTCAGCCAGTCAGAACTTTGAGCAACGATCATGTGACCAAATGTCTAGGCTTTTGATCAAGTGACTGGCCCTGGTAGCATTTAAAAATAGATGTAATCCTTATGTTAGCAGAGGTCGTGGATGCCTAGGTGCCAAGGCCAAATTTAACTTGACTGTAACTCTATGAGCAAAAATAACAATAAGGTGATCAGCGCCAGTAGGTGAAATGTGAAATAAGAGCTACCAAGCACTAATCTGTCTCACTGCTCCTGCTTTGCTGTGCCACAGAATGAATAAATGCCCTCCTGCGTGCCTAGAGTTGCTAGGTTTCTATACATATATATTTTAGTATTTTTTGTGTGTATTGTGACATAGTGGGGCGGGCTAATGTTTAATAAGCGGACCTTGCATGTGGGTACAAGCTCTGCCTTAAGTATATGGATTAAATTTAAAAAAAAAGCCTTCTACATCAGGTTTGTAGTTGTTTTGGCTGTCAGTCACTGTAGTGTCCATTGCCTCCTACCCCATCCATCCAGTTCTCAGCAAATTATACTTTGCACATAAATCTATGAAGATACGATCTACATCTGTGCAGATGGTACACTTGGCTGCAGATCTTTGTTTCATAACCCTACGAGAGCTTCAAGCTGGGACTTCAGCTGTGAATTCTGTGCTCCACTTCTGTCACCGTCTGTGAAAAGTCTTCAAGTGTCCGTCCACTCGGCTGCGAGTAATTGTTGCTTGCAGCTGAACTGTTTCCAAACACACGCGTGTGTCATCCCTCCATGACCGTTTCCATGGGTGCCGCTGTCAGAGCTCCTCTTGTCCTCACTTCTGTGTAGTAGGTTTTCAGGTGCCTGTCAGACAAAGGAAGCCAATCGCAGAATAGTAATGGGCGGTGGATTGGTTTGACTGCGGGAGACTTTCACCTGCAGGGGCCCAAAATTCTGCAGCTTGTAGGAGAGACCATTTCAGATCTCCTCTACTGTCTAGGGTTGGCAGGGTTTAAAATTATGCGACGTTCGCGGCGATATGTAACATGTGCGGCGCAATCGTCTTTTTTGCACGTATGCGCCCCCGACGCATGTTTGCATGCGTGTATGTATGGGTGGGGACTTAAAAATTTTTTTTTATTTTTTTATGTGTAACTTGAAATTTGGGGAGGGGGGGGAACTTAAATTTTTTTTTTCCTTCTAAACTTTATTGCTATCACATACGGGGGCTTCGCTGGAGGATCGGACGGGGGGGGGGGGAAATCTCTGCAGGGAGCGATGACTGTCAGTCACCACTCTCTGCAGGGAGATGATCGAGAAGTGAGCGAACGCCGGTATGTGTTCGCTCACTTCCTGATCTATTGAGCCGACCTGTGACAGTCTCATTGTCGCACGTCGCCTCGAACTATGAGGGTGCGTGATTTTCACTCACCTCATAGTTCTCCTTTCAAATGCCTTGCATGATGTCTCTTCATTTCACTCCTCTTTGGCCTGTAGTTTTGTCATTAAACTCAGCCCCCAGGAAGTATAAGGATGACAACGCTGCCTTTCTATACCCTGTATGCAAGGACAGTGTTGTCACCCTGAACACGCACTCCTGCAACGGACTACAAGACGATGTTCTGCCATTATGAACGCTGACATGTCCAGCACCTCTATCGCCTTTTCTCTGAGCTTCCCAACACAAGTCATATTGTCAGTGAATCCCAGAGAGAGGATTGTGAGCTTCCTCAGCTTACACAGAACCTCGATGGAGGGAGACTATATAGGTGCTGGATGTGTGGCGAAAGGTGTAGTCTGCTGCAGAAGCGCACATTCAGGGTGACAACACTACCGCCCAGTACATGGTATAGAAAGGCAGCATTGTCATGCTTAGACTGGGCGTACACGATTCACTAGAGTCAACGGTCTTGTCAGGTCCCATACTAAAGTGGTGGATAAATATGGGAGCTATTTGTATTTTATTCTTATCAAAAAATGTCCTTTTTTTTTTTTTTCTCCAACTTTGTTCTTGGGTTAATCTGGTGATAGGCCATACAATACATCTGCTGAGGAATCAATGATACTCTTTATTACAACACAAAGGACTGATCATGTGATGAGCGTGCATGATAGCAGTCAGCATGGGGAAGTTACTGGAGCAGACTATCTCTGTTTTTCAGACAACCCAGGGCTATGAATGTACCAGGAAGTCTAAATTTCACATTATATAAGACTGAACTGGAAAGGTTGCTTTCATTTTTTCTTTCAACAAAGAATTTGTAGTGTGCATAGTTTGTATGTACAGTCTGGTGACAAACCAACCCTCTAGGTCAGGGGTGGCAGCTCCTTATACACATGGCTCCAAGCTGAGTGTGCAGGTTAATGAAAGCTGGTCTCCTATTGGTCGCTGTGGTTTATTACACACTAGTGCTACTTTTTTTTAATCAGCCAGCATACGAGCGCTGGATTTATGTATGAATATTGATGGTTGTTAAAATGTGTAACAGATGGGGTGTGGGCTGTTATTAAAATAAGCCGTTCCCTTGTGAAAAGGTCTGTATTTTGTATGGATTAACACTCGGTTTCATGTCTTTTCAGTGCCCACGATGTATGCATTGTGAAGCAAAGTTTGACTTCATTAACAGGAAGGTAAGAAGTGACGTCTGGTACGCTAGCTTGCATTGAAATAAAGAGCTCAGATTCCCATCTTTTGTCTTGGGCTAGCTAGTGTCAAAAAATAAATAAAATGGGGCTTTTCTTGGACCATCCCTGATGAATTAGGCAAAACTCTTTGCAAAAGCCCATTCCCTTGTGCTCATCAGTGCGCAATCTCTTGCAGCCGGTGCGCCACCCTTGTGCATATTGTCCTGATGGATTAGGGATTTCCACTTCTGCAGCTCAGACTTAAAAGCGAACTATAGGGTAAGTGTTTTTCCCCACAGTTCTCTTTAGGGTCACGAAAGAACATACACTAGCCTCATCCCATGACCCAAAGCTCAGTATATAGCGAGCTACAGCTTGCGGTATACTGAGACCGCCGCAGCCGTGGCGGATCCCGACGATATGCTGATATCTAGAGGCAGAGCCAGCTGTGTCCGCCCCCCCCATCTGTTCCTCCAGTCAGGGCTAAATGGATCGGAACGGGGAGGGGGAATTCCCTGCGGATAGCCGTGACTGACAGTCACCGGTCTCTGCAGGGAGATGATTGAGAAGTGATCGAGGGACGGTATGCGTTTGCTCACTTCCCGAATTATTGAGCCGATGTGTGACAGTTTCCTTGTCACACGTCGGCTCGAACTACGAGTATGAGTGATTTTCAATGACCTCGTAGTTCTCCTTTTAAATATAGGAATCCTTTGGCTTTATAGTCTCCCTGTGGCCTGTAATTGTACAGTAGTATAAATGAGCTTCTTTAGCTCCATAATGTTTGCTGAATTACTTTGTTCTTGTCCCTTCTCTAGCACCACTGCCGTAGATGTGGTAAATGTTTCTGTGACAAATGCTGCAGTAAGAAAGTGCCTCTGCCCCGCATGTGTTTTGTGGATCCGGTGCGCCAGTGCGGGGAATGCTCCATCATTTCACAAAAAGAGACAGAGTTCTACGATCGGCAGCTAAAAGTGCTGATGAATGGTAAGTAGTGATGTTCCTGTACTCCGTGCTTATGAGGAAGTGGTAAAAATCAAATCTGCTATAATTATAGAGCACTCCTCTGCCGCACCATCCAGTACATCAGCTCTTTCCTTCACACTGCAGTATTATGTGATCAAAATAGATTCATTTGAAAGGTCCTTGAGGCTTTTCTAGCGGTGTCAAAATGGACCTTCAGAACAAAAAAAACAGAGGCGCCACCAAATGAAGAAGCATCTGAAGGAGTTTTTATTGCCAACAAAAAAACTATGATTTGATAATTTCATGCTTTTACGGTTACCAATATTAACTCCTTTTGGACTTTTTCGTTTGGCACCTCCATTTTTTTGCTCTAATTGACTTCTCCAGGACCCCCTCCTACCCCCTGTGCGGTCTCTGTAGGTGGATGTGCAGCCACTACCAAGCAGTTGAGCCCACAAAAGAAACCCACATTGCAACCACAGGAACTTTTACAATCAAAGATCATTCCTCGCTCTCCCTCGCAAAATGAACCTGGAGGCCCTGTCCACATCTGCTCATTTTGTGCATTGCAGTGTGTAGAAATTAGTCTTGCTTGCTGCATCTGTGGTGTGGTTTCCAGGACAAATGCGCATTGTGTGTCAAGTGCGCCTACACCGCACCCGTGCTGCAGGAATGCATAGATGTAAATAAATCCTTAAAGAGCGATTGTTACTTTGTCCATGCAAGGCATGTCTCTTTATCCCCCCTTCCCCTTGAACCTGCAGTTCTGGGTATGGGGGAGCATGTGACCAGCTCTGCTGTTACGGCACCCAGGCTTATCAGCCAATCACTAGGCCCAAGTACTGTCACATGACTAGGAAATTGACATCGCTGTCTCCCCGGTTTGCTGACGCAGCTGATTTTAGCATTGGCTGTGGAGAAGCAAGAAGCTGGGAGGGAGTGCAGGTAAGGGGAGTATTGGGGGGTTGGGGAATGCCCTTTGCAGAAACGCTGCCCCTTTGCCCTGCTTTGGTAAGGTGGCAATGTCTGCGTAAACTGAACCCTTGGAAGGGGGGGAAGCAAGCCGCTTTAGAATCAGTATGACAACACAACAACAGGACACACCTAATGGCCTGGATGGGAAGGGGGTTTAACACCGCGGATGTCAACTGGTTAAAGTTGAACTCCAACCAAAAATTATTCATTTTAAAAGGTCAAAATATCTGTTTTAGGGCTTCCAGTCCTTGCTCTACTAGTGTCTCGTGTTCTTGAATCTAGTTTGCTGGCTGCTGTTTAATCTTATTTAGAATTAAAATACTAAGCTGTTAATTATGGGATTGTAAAGCAGAAAATCATTCTTCAAAAGCACCAAATTAAATCCTCATTTTTAAAAAATATGGGGGAGAAAACGTGTTATCTGAACACCAAAATAGCATAGTAAATAGAATGTTAAATGGTGCTAAATGAAAGGAAACTGCACACTTCTGGACAAGACACCCCAAAATACAACCATTTCTATAGGTTGACTAGTGAAATTAAAACCGAAAGCTGACCATGTGATCTTTATAATTTGGCTATATATAATGGTCCATCCTGTTTTCTTTCTTCCTGTGTCTCCAGGTGCTACATTTGACATAACCCAGGGATCCTCGGAGAAGTCTGAAACTGTAGTGTGTCGACTTTCTAACAACCACAGGTAAAGTCCATCACCCACTGCTTATACTTTCTTATCACTTTGGAAGGGCGTGTAACAATATCACCCTTTCTCCCCTTTATCACATGATGCAGTGTTGGAGGCCCTGGTGGCCAATCACTGGGCTGAATCGCTGTCATGAGAGAGGAGAGAAAGTCCTTAGACCTTTTGTAAGTTTAGACAGGTCTTCTTCTCTTCACCCCTGCAATGGAATATAGTAAAGGTAATTTAAAAGCAGGGAAAGGAGAAACCAATTGATTCTGTGGATCGCATGCTACAGTCCCTGTTTCAGACACATTTATACATGATGCCCAGTCAGGTGAGGCTGTTATTTTCCTGTCATTGTACTTGTCAGACAAGTGTTTGCAGATCTGGAATATTTGTGGCCTATCTTGACCTATAGTCCCACCAATCTGCTCACAGCAAATCAGGTAAGCTGGTTGCTAATTAAGTCATTATGTTTCTGTCCAAGCCTTATAGTAAGCTTAACCAGTGGTTTGCCTTTTGCAGTCAATCAAATTGTCATTTTCCAAGGGCATTGCTTCCACTTTTCCTGTAGACTTATTTAAGACTGAATAGTCTTTCCAACCACAGATAGGCAGTTTGGGAAATCCTGAAGGTTGCAGAACAAATATCGGGGTCTGAGATGGAAACCTTCCAATGAATATGGCTCAAGGCGCTTTTCCACTGTTACACTTTAAACAGGAAACTTTTGCTGTGAGATGTATTACTGATACCATTTTAAAAAGTCTAGTTCCTTCCCGGTCATGCTGATACAGTGGCTTCTTTGCAGAGTTATAGACTCTGAAAAAGTATTTATCGCAGGAGTTCCCCATGGTCCCTGTGTGTATTGTAAGTAGTCACCGCTCCAAGCTCACTGCTGTGATGGACTACAATCTCATGTTTAGTCTAATTTGTATTGAGATTGTAGTCCATCACAGGAGCGAGGAGCGGTGACTACTTTACAACACACACAGAGACCATGAGGAACAAAAGTAGCCACCCTCCCGAAGGAAGAACAGAGTCAGCACCAATTCAGAGATGATTTGAGGATCTACAGCCGAGTGATACACAAATGAGATAAATTTATGTTAATAGTTAAGGTACTTGAATGCATTTTTAAGATTTAACTCCTGAGTTTAGTGTCACTTTAATGACTGCATGCTCTTCCAGATCAGTGACATCCAGACAATTATTGTTTTCAGGTGTAGGTGAGGAATGGCAGCCCACTAGTAATAAACAATAAATATTAATTTCTCCAAATAATATCAAAAACCCATTAAGCAGTTGTATAATTATCAAAAAGATATATAAACATAAATGTATACAGTGCTCCTTTAAAGATATAATCTACCTTATTCTCCTAAGTAGAAAAAAAAATCACATGTGGGCATTACGTAGGGCAGTATGCATGCAAAAGCAATCTGCCTAGAAACGGCCTTTTCTCCAGACTGACATCCAGCCATAATGGCATTTCTTCAATCTGCCTCACTCTTCACAAGGACCACAAGTCTTCCTGCATTGCACATAGACCCCGTAATTAGGGGGTGGAGGGAGGAATAAGGAAAGGCAACATTTAGGCCTGGTTCACACCTGTACGTTTTGTAGCGCGTTCAACGCTCTACAAACGCTCTACAAAACGCTCAAACATGAAAATCTCATTGTTTTCTATGGGTATGGTTCACACCTTGCCGTATTTCAGCCCGTCTGAATGCGCTACAAAACGGCCTGAAAACGCCTGAAAAGGTACATGAGCTTCTTTGCGGCGTTTTTGTCGCGCGTTTCCCTTTGGGATACAGCCAAGTAGCCCTCGGAAACGCGCGTTTGTCGGAATTGCGCTAAAAACGTGCTTCACAAGACGCGTGACAAACGCGCATATTCGATACGCCTAGGTGTGAACAGAGCCTTAAAGAAATGAAACTTTACTATTAAGAAAGCGCTGCATGCATTTATTTAGACCACTCCTTATGAATATAGGTTTCCTTTCATTTTCCCTTGCTCTCATACACTGAATCCTCCTGTATGTGAAATGCATTGGTTTGTGAAGGAAGAAATAACTTTTTTTTTCTTTTGCTTGTAGATATTTGTTCCTAGATGGAGAAAACCATTATGAAATAGAAGTTTCCCGGATTTCAACTGTTCAGATACTCACCGAAGGGTTTAACCCTGGAGGTAAGAGGTTAGATACTTCCTCAGGTCTACATTAATGGCCATGCATACGATCACTAGACAAAACAGCCGGCAACAGTGTAGGGGAGCAGCCAATTCCTAAAATACATAGATGAATAATACAAAATAACATTGTGCAAAGCAATCTACGTTTGTTCAGTGACCTCGGCTTGTTAGTAGAGCATGGCTTTGCCTCACCTAGTTTCAGGGGACTCTGTTCAACTGTGTAAAGCCAAAAGTCGGCTTATACACTGCAAACCATACTGGCGATTGATTTGCCTACAGATTGCTTCCAAGGGCCGGTGAAGTGTGGCCTTGCTTCCTGGGCTCTGTTGCCCCTCCTGCGGGCCCGGGACCAGCATCATAGGTGTCGGCTGGTAGAGAGACCAGCAAAAATCTATTTGCTGATCTCCTCCCTGCCGAATGAGGCCGGAATTGATGCTGTTTGCATCATTTCCAGCACCTCATCTGTCATTCCCCGGCTAGAGTAGCTGAGGAAGAAGCTATTCAAGAGCGATCTGTGCTTTTAAATAGCTTCTTTGCAGTGGAAAGGTGACGCTAGTGGTCCAATAGATCCCTAATTAAGGAGTACTTGTCACCACTAATCTGCTATCACATAGGGGGCTTGTAAGCCACCCAATGTGATGGCAATAAAGTATAGTAAAAAAAAAATAAGTTTACAAAAAGTAAAATAACTTTTTTATTTTTTGGCATTTAGAAGTCCCTGCCCCCAGCGATTGTGCACATAGTAGCCTGGTGCGCCTACGTATAATAATGTAAATTGCCCTACACTTGTTGGGTATCGCCATGTGTGCCAGAGTGAGAGCAATAATTCTAGGGACAATATTTATGGTTGCCTCTAAACTGATGGCTTTTAAAGCATCGCCTATGGACAATTTGGGGTACCGTATTCTGTCTTTGTTGGTGCACACAGTTTTTAAGCTTGGCATGTTGGGTATCTATTTACTCGGCATAACCTCATCTTTTTATATATATTTTTTTTAAAATGCACTTGGTTGTAGGTTGTTAATTGAGGAAAACAAACTGTTTATTTCATTACTTTTGAAAGCATCCTCACTTTACAGCAATACTTTTTGAGAGATATACCGGTAAATCTATATCTATAGATCTATATCTATAGATCTATATCTATAGATCTATATCTATAGATCTATATCTATAGATCTATATCTATAGATCTATAGATATAGATCTATATCTATATATATTATAATCTGACTTGTTGAAAATCCTTGCATCTCTCCTTTAGTGGCAGAGAAAAGCTAAGTAGTTGATGGATAAGGATGACAACCCTGGAGATTGCACTCTTAAATCTAAGCCTGCATTGGCATCTCGCACAATTCTGCTTTGACAGGTGCTCTTCAAGGCACTGCACTGTCAGTCATTTTGATGGCATGCCTTATTGCTGCAGCTTTTCCTGACAATAACATGCATTTCTTTTCCAATTAACTGTTTTCATGAATGTATAGTACGCTCAGTGACTTTTCTTTTTTCACTGCTCACGCTGCTTTGACGTACAGATATTCACACATACACCAGTCTGCTGGAGAGCCAATTCATTACAGAAGGTCAGAGGATGAGAGAATTGTGCCTGTCCGCATGTTGTGTCCGCCCCGTGATTGCTTGCTTTCCAAATAGAATTTTTCACCTCAGATCCGTGTGTTCCAAAACCAATTCCCATCTTTAAATTTAATTGTTTCCTTTAAATCCTCATTAATGACTTGCTGATCGAGCAATAGCATTCTCTGCAGGCTACAGGCCTTCTGATATCTATGCTGATACTAGCTTGCATGTCTACAGTCTCTCTATATATGTTTTTGTTTCCTTACAAAATCAATAGGACACTGCACAGCAAACCCCAGCAATCTGATCACATTTCAGTTTTTAATATGGATTCTCGTAGGCTGCTGTGGTTTCCTGCCATTTGTGCCTGCAAATGCAAAATTACAAAGCTGCAAAACGGCCTTCAGAGTTCAGGATTCTTTGTCTCTTATCATTCCAATAATTGCTGAACTCTAAAGGCCACACAAAAGGCGAGATTACTTCTAAAGGGTGATACTTTCCATTTTCATTTCTTTAAGTAAAACTGTTTTGTAGTGTTGCCTCTTCTGAGTAGAATACACGTACTCTCTGCGTTCTGTAGACACAACTATGACCGTGATTTTCTCACGAACATCCACTGACGCCTTAACATTTCAACTGGGCAAGCACAAGGGAACAAAGAAAGAGCATTCAGAGTTAAATCTTAAAAATACATTTTTGTTAATAGATAAGTTACTTGAATGTAATTTTTTTGTGTATCACTCGGCTGTAGATCCTCTAATCATCTCCGAATTGGTGCCAGCACTGTCCTGCCTTCTGGAGGGGGGCTACTTTTGTTCCCCATAGTTCCTGTGTGTGTTGTAAAGTAGTCACCGCTCCAACCTAGACTATAAACTTGCATTTTGTTTACTAACTTGTATTGAGATTGTAGTACACCACAGGAGCGAGCTTGGAGCGGTGGCTACCGTACAACACGTACAGGGATTATCAGCAGGTGCACAAGTTCACACGTTAAAGCTAGGGTCAATCGGGAAGCCAGGCGCTGTGTAATGACTCGCCACCCGGCTACCTGATTAGCAGGGAAGCCGTCCCCATGCTTCTCGTCACTAGGTGACGAGAAAGCATTGAGCCAGCTTTCTGGCCAATCAAGAAGCTGGGCGCTGTGTAATGGCGCAGCCCCTGGCTTCCTGATACCAGAAGTATCGGGTTAGGCATTGGATCATTTGGGCGAGTACTCGCCCAAATACTCGGCATTGGCACCGATACCGAAACTAGTATCGGTGTATCTCTGGATATACAGTTATCACCATAACATTGACTTGCACTACTATAGGGTCTGGCCTCTCCCTCACGTAACTGATGCATTATTTTTTTAAATGGAAACCCACCAGCTTTCTAAATCTCTTTGGGTTTCCATTGGGGAGTTCTCTGGATTTGCTGCAGGTAGATAAGGCTGGGAATATATCCAAACAGGGGCTCTTGCTCCCTGATGGTTTATTTTACATTATGGGAAATGGAGAAAATGGAATGAGACCACATACAAAGAGTTATCGGAGCTGGAGATTCCAGGAAACACAGGACGCCAGTATCTGACTCGCGCAGTAGAGGACAATCTGCATTGGGAGTATCAGTTTCTACTCAGCAGCAACAACCTACAAATGTTTTTCTCAACATAAGTGATATTTTCTTATGCATGGGTTTTATTGCATCACCGATCAGGTCTCCTATTCTTGTATTGTGATTTAATGAGAGTAACTCATTCCGAGGAGGTTTTTTTTTTTGCCTTGTAAACAGCATGTCCTGGTTTTATTTTTTGCCTTGTGAACATCAAGCATAGTTGAGCATGAATTCTTCTTCAAAGCAGCTGCGTCTCTACAACCAATTTCCCAGCTTTGCACAAGCCAGTTACAATAATAATCTGCCCTAAGCACTGCAAATAAAAGTGGACCATACACATGCAGCAGCAGGATACAGTGTGTAATCTTCCCAATGTACCACTGAGAATGAAAAATGAATTTGGGTTGTATAGCAGTATTCCATACCAGAGCGCCATAATTTAACTTCCTTATAACTGCGTGGCTTTAATTGATAAAGTTGTACACACTCTGGAGCTGGGAGACCGTGTGTGGTATTCCCATCAAGTGAGGCAGTTGATACAGTAAGACATCTGTCAGTTTGGCAACCTGGATTCATTTGGGATCCCTGATTTAAATTCAGGAAAAACGTTGGGGGGAATTTATCAAAACTGGAGCAGATTTGCACTGCATCCAGTCAGCATCTCTCTCTCTCTCTCTCTCTCTCTCTCTCTCTCTCTCTCCTGGGCAGGCAGAAGAGAGAATCTGATTGGTTGCCCTGGGCAACTGCTCCAGATTCTGTCTGCTCCAGTTTTGATCAATTCCCCCATTTGGCTTTTCAATTTTGCGTCAAGAAATAAAATTCTTAATAGACACTTTGTGGTGCTCTCATCCTTCTAATGTTCTATAGGCTGCTCCGGGAACCCTTTTGGGATACCCCGGCTGTTCCAGGGACCCTTTTGGGATACCCCGGCTGTTCCAGGGACCCTTTTGGGATACCCCGGCTGTTCCAGGGACCCTTTTGGGATACCCCGGCTGTTCCAGGGACCCTTTTGGGATACCCCGGCGGTTCCAGGGACCCTTTTGGGATACCCTGGTTGACAGAGATGCCTCTAGAAATCAGATTCTGACCTGAGTATACCCTGGGGTCCCACATTCCACCAACACATATCTGTCAGGTAGATGCAGGAATATTGACTCATACCAAGCACTTCACATTACTACTACAGCAAACCAGAACATACCGAGCTTTCAGAGGCAATGCTAGGGGTTTAGGCCGGATACCAGAGTGCCGGTTTATAAGCAATGCTAATTTTTCCATAGAGATGTACTCAGCCTGCAAAAACCTTTTTATGATGTGGATATTCACTCTATGCATGGGAAGGTTTGGTCAGGATTCCAACAACTGGCCACAGTGTTTAGCGAAATACTTTGTTTAAAAGGAACTGCTGCTTCCAATTTTCTAAACGTATAACTGTACAGGGGCCCCGATAATGCTGATATAATCTGACTTTAGCTGTCACCATCAGTTGGCTTATGAGGTTGGTGACATCACATGGCATGGCTTGTGTTAAACTTGTAGGAGAAGTCAGTCATTTTATAGAATGTGTGCATGGGACAACCAGCATACGGCTCATGTACTATGTTGTAGTGTGAGCATTGTAAAAGGCAAGGCAAAAAAAACACCCCTCCTCCCCAGAAGGCTGATGGGGCCACTGTCTGGATTTCTCGAACCCCGCTTTTTGAATATTGAGATCTGCTGCTTGTTATATGTTCATGCGCCATCTATAATCTGTTTTGAGCTTCGAATATGCAAATGTATCTTTTAGAATGATGTAATAATTGGTTGTGCAATATGCAGGAGGGAACAGTCGAGCTACAGGGATGCTCCTTCAGTATAAGAGTGCTGGCTCAGATGATCTCTTACAGATGAAGTTTACAACAAGTGAAGATTTTAATAGTAACAAGAAGATGGTGGCTTCCTGGCTGGCTGCTATGCACAAGGTACCTGTATGATATGTGTGTCTTTGTGGGGGAGGCTCCGTTGTTCTCTGCCCTGTGCATGGTATTGTACAGGTCAGTCAGGCTGGTGGCTGTGGCCCAACATCACCCTGCATTACATTTTGTAATAAAAGGCATGCAAAGATTACCTGTATCTTTTAGTTGGGTAAATCCTAAATAACGTTTGTGCCCAGTCACATGACCAGTGCCAAGGCAGTGGTCATATTGTCTCTGCCAAAGCAGAGGATCTTGGGAGACTGCTATCAAAAGACATTTCCAGAAGAAACGAACTGCCCGGCTCAGTCTGAATAGTCTCTTCATGTCAGTCCTGTAAGGCAGAGACCTCATGTTCGGTGCCTAGGCATTGTGGTGTTTATATAGTCTTTGGGGGCTTTTTGTGTGGCTTGCACATTTTTACTCGCATGTGGTAAAGAGGATATTTCACAGGAACCTGGTACGCAGGATATAAGGGGTGTTCCGGGTCATCCTTCCTTCACATCTTGTTAGGTTCCTGGCTATGAGCAGAAATGTGTATGCCAGTTGTCCGTACACTTTAGTGGCTGCAAGCTTGTTTTAGATCATTGACTCACTTCAAGTAGCAAGCCACGGATAAGGATAACAGGCCAGCAGCTATCACATTCAAAAACAAATCAATGGCAGCTGCCAATAGTTTTTCTCTTTATTGGAAACCTGTACACTGGTGCCTTGTTTTACAGATACAAGCTCTGGGGCTGTCATCATTATCCTTGCAGCATTTACGGCTAGTTCACCCCCTCCTCCTCCCCCGATTGTGGCCGGAACGCACTGGATCGCATTCCGGCCGGCTTTCTTTGTTTCGGGGCGGCAGGGGGTCGTGGCAGTGCATTGAACTCAATGGCATTGAGTTCAATGCACCGCCACGGCCCCTCCTGCCCCAAAACAAAGTGAGCCGGCCGGAATGCGATCCAGTGCGATTCACGGTAAAAAAGTTGCGCGTTTCCGAAGGCTACTTGGCTGTATCTAAATGGAAACGAGCAACAATACGGCCCAAAGTAGTACCTGTACCTTTTCAGGCGTGGGCCGTTTTGTAGCGCGTTAGGGATGGGCGGAAATACGTCAAGGTGGGAACGAGACCATTGAATACAATGGGATTTATATTTTTGAGCGTTTTGTAGAGCGTTCGTCGAGCGTAGAAAGCGCTACAAAACGTTCAGGTGTGAACGAGGGCTTAGTGCACGTCTTTCATGCTGACTCTCTATGCCAAGTCATAGTTGCACAATTTAAAAAACAAAAAATTTTTTAAGGTGGCCTAATGCATAAAAATGGTCGCCCGCTTTTCTGCCACTTCTGGTGCCCAGATGGTACTGTGCAGGGGATGGCTGCCGGTGTTTTGTGGCACATGAGAACACATTTTACACAGTGGTTTAGACTTTGCATTCCTTGTCTGTAAGGAAGAAAGTTCCCATTACATTTTCATTCTTAAGAGCCTCAGGAAAGTTCGGCTTGGCTTTCATTTTACAGTAGTGCTCAATATAGGTGATTGCATTGTTTCCTGTTGCAGTGGCTGATATATAAAGACTCTGCTTCCAGGTTTTGGTGATAAGATGATGGCTGTGAATCCCCAAATTTGTGGTCATTATTGTGGAGACTACCAGAGGAATGAGACAGTCCTTAGAGATAACTTTGTCATCTCTACAGAGAGCGTGAACAAGCCGCATACTATACTGTGGAGGGGAGTTTGCTTTTAATCCCCATGCTGAAACTTAGGCCATCTTGTCTATGTAATAGTCAGTGTGACGTGACGGGGCCCTTCGGACTAATGTGTTCTTTTTATTTCTGCAGGCTGCAAAGCTTCTGTACGAATCTCGTGACCAGTGACAGAAGAGGAAAGATGAACAGTGCAAAGTTTTATTTGTAATTTGTCATTTTTTGATGCAATATAACAGACCTTCTTATATGCCCGATATATGTACAGCTCAGTTGTTCATTTACAGTGTACCCGTCACTCGCCCATTGCAGGCAGCCATTGCAGAGACTGGGACGTGTTGGGCTACTCTCCATCTTGTAGCAGATTGCAGAGATGCATTTTCACAAATGTCGGGTCATTGAATGTCTGCCGTCAATGTGGGCAAATGATGAGTACACGGTACTTCTTTTTATAAGCAGAATCGTTCACTTTATCTGTGCAATATATATATACAATTTTAATAATGCTTCGAAAATGTTAATTTCACCAGACTGGGGGCTCATTCCGACTCCTCCTTACTTATGGGTTCGTGTAAGGCATAATCACATATTCATCTGCATACAATAGCCTGGGACCCTTTAGTACTACTTGGAGTGGTCACAATCCATTTGAATATGCCTACACCACACTGCTGCATAAGTCAGGGCCAAACCTTTATGAACGGCAGTACAAAGGACAATGCGGCATATCTTCCACCAAGCCGGTGTTTATCCAGAACAGGTTACATCGGCCGATGGTGGCAATGCTATTTCTCTTTGTACTGGGGGTCTAGACTGAGCCTCTCATTATATTTTGTTATTGTTAAAGGTAGCCTTGGTTTCTCTACCGCTGTTTTCACACAGAGTATGTGAGTAACCTGGATCGGATAGCCAGGATTGCTGGAGAACGACTTTTTACACTAGATCTCAGGTTCTTTCTCTCTAGTACAAAAGCACTAACCTTCTTTTTTTTTCTTGGGGGGGGGCGGGGGGGGGGGCGGGATTCGATGCAAAAAGATGTGTATAGTTTGTAGATACTATAGAGCTGATGTGTCAGACCTGGAGAATTGGAAAAGTGGTGGTCAATCATTGCCTTGGAAACATAAGAGCCAACATCTGATTTGTTAAGGGCAGAAGAGAAACCTTCCTTCCCTGCAGGTCAGGGTCTCTTGAAGTGAAAGAACTTTCATTGTTATAGATGATAGAAGCCTAATCACTAATATGTTCCAGTAATCTGAAGATCAGTGAGTCATGTCATAGGGTATATTGCGTCCAAAAACTGCTTTACATGGAAACGGAGGATAGAATTGAGGAGGATGCCATCAAGGGAGATAGAGCGCAGGCTTGGGGGTCTGTCATCATGATCCTGGCTTCAGTGCCCAGTGAGTCAATGACCTGGCACAAGCAGACGGCCAGTTCAGTCTTCGCACCTGTTTCCTACCTCATGGAAAATTGGCCCAGGAAGTATCATGTCCCATGGATCGTTTGTGTGCTGGTTACAGCATATTAGCAGTCCTATGGAGGATGGGGCAGAGACCTGACTGTGGAAGTTGGGGTTTCAGTTCTGGGTGTAGATGGAACGCTACTTGATGTTTCCCAGAAAGAAGTGTAGTCTGGGGAGAGTATGTCCAGCATTAAGGGTCATGTCTGTCTTGTCTTATGAGGAAGGACCCAACAGCTGCCTCTTCAGAAAGTTTATCAGAATTATTTGGGTAGATGAACTGCATACTGCAGCAATATATTTAATACAATTTGTACCCAGTGTCAACTGCTGAACTATATTGCCCATGTAGTGCTATACCGAATCCATTAGAGGGCGCTGATATATTGGGAATACCGAATCCATTAGAGGGCGCTGATATATTGGGAATACCGAATCCATTAGAGGGCGCTGATATATTGGGAATACGGAATCCATTAGAGGGCGCTGATATATTGGGAATACGGAATCCATTAGAGGGCGCTGATATATTGGGAATACGGAATCCACTAGAGGGCGCTGATATATTGGGAATACGGAATCCACTAAAGGGTGCTGATATTTTGGGAATACGGAATCCATTAGAGGGCGCTGATATATTGGGAATACCGAATCCATTAGAGGGCGCTGATGTATTGGGAATCCACCAAAAGGGAAGCCTGACACGAGTTCGAGGGGCTGCCAATGCTGATCTTCGGTCATTACCAGTTGCCTGGTGGTCATGCTTTGTGCCTCTAGAATTGAATCCTTGAAAAATATCTTCTTTCATTCCTCTTTAAAGTGTATTTCCACTTTCGCAGATGAGGATAACATCTATTTTATATTGGTTACGTGTTCCCAATCACATAGCACAAGTTAATAATAAAAAATTTAAAAAAATGCTTCTTGTTTGAATTGCTTTTACTTGGATTCTGGTTTTAAGGTTTAAGTTTCTTCTTGCTTCTATTTCTTTGAAATGTTAGGAGGGGCTGTGAGGGGTCTGAGGTGGCCTGCCCATTGTATGTTAATGAAGCTTATCAGATAAAACACAATCCTCAAATTTCAGTCCGAAGTCCTTTTTTATTATAAGCACAGACCACTCTGAAAGGACTGAGAAAATCCTGGAGTCATACGTCTTGCCTGATTTAACAAAACATCTTAAAGGTAAGAATGTTTTAAAAGTTTTTTTTTTCCAGTATTGTGTGTGAATGGGAACACAATGAACATGTGAGGGGGGGGTGGTGGGTCTGCACACACTTGGAAATACACTATAAAGTATGCATCATCTGATTGGCTGGCCTGAATAAGTCTGCATGTGACTTTTATCTGTGCTTGTAGCAAAGAGCTTATCTTATGATGGCTAGAAAAGGCTGTGCATGTATAGTTTAAACAGACTCCCGGCGGCAAAAGTCGCCGGGAGTCTGTTTAAACAGCCCCGATGCTGGCGACGTACACTGTACGTCAGTCACGAAGGGGTTAAGTTGGGATCCACTCCGGCAGCAGCGTCTCAGTATACCGCGAGCTGTAGCTCGCGGTATACTGAGCTTAGGGTAACGGGAGGACGCTAGTTTGTGTCCTCCCGTTACCCTAAGGAGAACTATGGGGAAAAACACTGACCCCATAGTTCTCCTTTTTAAGGTATTTTTTTAAGATTTAACAGAAATGTAGTTCGTTTATCATCTCTGTATTGGTGCTGACACTGTCCTTCCTTCTGGAGGGTGGCTACTTTTGTTCCCCATGGTGCCTGTGTGTGTTGTAAAGTAGTCACCGCTCCAAGCTCACTCCTCCCACAAACACGGCCAAGTTACCTTGGCCTATTACTTGTTGAGATTGTAGTCCATCACAGGAGTGAGCTTGGAGCGGTGACTACTTTACAACACACACAGGGACCATGGGGAACAAAAGTAGCCCCCCTCCAGAAGGAAGGACAGTGTCAGCACCAAATCAGAGATGATTGGAGGATCTACAGCCGACTGATACACAAATAAGATACACTCAAGTACCTTTTTTAAAAATACAATATTTTCAACATTTAACTCCTGAGTTTAGTGTCACTTGAACCTGGTCCATGTAGTGCTTTGCAGAGTCCACTTGCTAATTGGCTTTTTCACTGACCCCAAACAAGCATGGACAGCTGGAGCTTTGATGTCACTTCCTGTATGTACCCTTGGCCTAGGCAGACTGGTACTAAAGCCAAAGTCAGGCAACTGGCATTTGTAGGTCAGAAATGGCAGTCTACACCTCTCAGTACAGGCTTCCCTTTTAAAGGAGAACTATGAGGGGAGTGCTTTTCACTCACCTCATAGTTCTAGCCGACCTGTGACAATGAGACTGTCACAGGTCGGCTCAGTAGATCGGGAAGTGAGCGAACACATCCCGGCGCTCGCTCACCTCTCGATCCTGTCACGGCAGAGAGCTGTGACAGGGAAGGGACTGGATTCTCCTTGCTCCGATCCTCCAGCGCTGACTGGCGGAACGGATGGGGAGGGGGCGGGTACAGCTGGCTCTGCCTCTAGATAGGCACAGCCAGCTGTCACTCACGCAGCTGCGCGGATCCAGACATAATTGTCGGGATCAGTTTCAGCTGCGGCGTCTCAGTATACTGCGAGCTACAGCTAGTTTGTGTCCTCCTGTTACCCTAAGGAGAGCTATGGGGAAAAGCCCTAACCCCATAGTTCTCCTTTTAAGGTCACTGCCTACTGCTTGGCTATGCGTTGTCTGGTCTTCCTCTGTAGGAATGAGATGTGATCGAGGGGTTTCAGCAATTGGCATGAAATAGAAGTTTCCCCATTCAGGTTCTTTTGGGCAACATTCTTTATTTTTTGTTCAGGCAAATGGCAGAAGTGAGTGCGGTCTACCTTCTCCTGTTGGCCCGCTAACCAGACCTACATCCCAGCTGAACAGTTTCTGATCCATTTTATAATAACTGCAGGGAAGGAATGTTGCATCAAATTGGGTAAAAAAAATGCTGGGATTGGTTTCTAGGGGCGACTGCTTTACTCCCGTCAGTCTGCCTCACAGAGGAGAGAAATACAAAGAGTCACACGATTTCCTCTTCTTAATTGCTCGAGCTTCCCTTTTATTTTGTGGATGTTTAGGAGTGAAAGAAAATGGAGTTTTATTTGTGGTGATTTAGTCTTTGTCCCAGGCCGAGTCTTTCATACAGTGACAGCCCGGGTTCTGGCTTGAGCTGAATGCTTTAGATACATTCTCCATGTTTGACCTTGGTGCAGACCCATTCTAGGGCAGGGGTGGGCAACTTTGGCATTACAGCTGTTGTGGAACTACAAGTCCCATGAGGCATTGCAAGACAATGACTCACAGAGCCAGACGAGATGATGGGGATGGAGTTCCCTACACCTTTTGTCTGAAATGAGAGTTCTGCTCACACCATTGCCCTTGATGTTACAGGAAGATCCGAGGTGGGGGAAGAATGGAAGCAGCAGCAGTGATGACCTGGAGAGTTATTATATTTTGCTCCACAAAACATTTATTTTTTTTGGGTGTGAGTTTATGCATCAGAGGAAAACTTTCCAGGGGCCCCATAGTTCAGGTTTAGAGACACCTATAGGTCTGGTGTAGAGTTTTAACTCCGATGTACATAATTTGTAGAAGTAACTGACCCATCAGACTTGCAATGTGTGGCGTCTCCTCGCCCTTCAGCACTACATCAGGTGACTCTGTGGAATTCATTTTCTGGGTGAGAACACATTGGTCCATGAGGCCTTTTCCACACATCAGTTTGCAGATTGTGTCACAATGCACACACACACACACACACACACACACACACACACTTTTTCTCTTTTTAGGCAGAGGAAAGACAGAAAGGAACACATGGGTAACTCAGACTCGCTCATGTGCACTTCCCTTTCCTCCAGGTCAGTGTTGCAGAACACATCCAGTTCTCACACCTGTGTGATTGGACGCGTCTTTATGAAGTAGTTTGCCAGCAGGAGGTGCTCAATGCGTCAATGTATGATTGCTCTAGTTTAGCTGTGTGTGCTGTCTGCATGGAGGAGGTAGAGGGAGCCATTCTGTACATTCCA